ATAATAATAGTAATGTTAATAACACTGATAACAGTAATATTAACATTACTATTATATATATATATATATATATATATATATATATATATATATATATATATATATATATATATATATATATATATATATTATATATATATATATATATATATATATATATATATATATATATATATATTGAATAATTCTTAGTCTCCATAATTTTTATCATAGTTTTTGAATACTAAGAGATTAAAATGTATAAAAATTAATGTAATAGACTATTATAAAATTGTTTTTGGATCTGACAACATTTTAAATGTTTGTTTTTTACTACAAACATGATAAATATATTTAAAAAAAAGTTTTATTTAATTTTTTTTTTCTAATAAATTTTGGGCAAAAATAGGTTGTTTTAGGCAAAGACATGGTAAAATCATAGTTAAAAAAAGAAAGTTATATAAAAAAGTAAAATGTATTAAGTTCTAATTATTTGCAGTTTTACTTATTTTATGTAGATAAATTTATCTACATTTACTTTAAATTTAGTGCATTGAAATATTTTTTAAATAAAAAACTTTTATCTCAGGACATTATAAGATCCTGAGATAAAAGTTTTTTAGTTTTAAAGATTTTTCAATGCGCTTAATTTAAAGTCAAATTTCTAATATTATTAACCAAAAGTTTGTTTTTATTTGAATTCTAAAATTTTTTTTATTTCAGGACATAAAACTTAAAATGGATGTCTGTTCAAAATTTTAAGTCAATTGAACTGCTCCTGCAATCTTTGTCAGAAAATTAGAAATATAAAACAAAAAAATGCCAATAAAATTTTGAAGAGTGAGTATACAAACTTATTGAAATATATTAAAATAGAATAAAATTCACCTTTTTTATATACTGTTTCCTCTTCATCGTTGTATTTATTATCGACCCTTTCTTAATTGTTCCATAATTACTTTTTAATTTTGTCAGATGATTTTTTGTCCATTTGCTTTACATGCAGAAGATCGGTCTTATGGAAAACAATACTTATTAAAATGTTCTAGAACAATTTCTAAACTATGCAGAACATCTAGCAAGCCTGTTTTGCCATCATTAAAGTATGACAAAACATGCAACACTAATTTTAAGTAATGAGCTTTCGCACTTTTGGGGCATCTAGCCCAAACCATTTGATCTGCATAACCAATTTTGATAGCTTGCACTTTTAATTCATGTTAGTAACAAATCTAATCAATAACGCTTTTTTTTCAGATTATGTCATATGCAACATAGAAAAACTAAAAACAAAAAGGCAGCATTTGGTATATATATTTATTTTTTTTTTTGTAGTTATTTTAGGTGCTCCCAGAAGTAATACGGTCTTTTCAAAGAGCACAGCGGGAGAGCATTTAACAATTAGTTCATGCCTCCTTCTGTACCAATGTTGCTTGTTGAGCTAAAGCTGGCGTCGAACCTGGAACCTCTTGGTTCTGAGCCAGAACTCTAACCACTGCACCACGGCTGCTCCTTACCACTGCGCCACCGCTGCTCATGCTCGGTTTGAGTATTTAGAACTTGTCATTTTATCAGGTCTAAATTTTTTTCTAATATGAAGATCTATATATTTTTAGATTCTACAGTAGTTACTGTTTAAGATAATGCAACTTTTAAAAAACCAATCTTTTATAACTTTTTTAGTAGTCTACTACCTTAATATTTATTGATAAATATAAGCTTTTATAAGAATAGTAAAAAAGGTTTTTATATATATATATATATATATATATATATATATATATATATATATATATATATATATATATATATATATATATATATATAAAAATAATAATAATAATAATAATAATAAAATATAACATATACATGCATACATACATACAAATATACATATATATATATATATATATATATATATATATATATATATATATATATATATATATATATATATATATATATATATATATATATATATATATATACTCCTGTTAGAATTCTGATACATCCCTACAAAAAATAGACATACTTATAACTCCATTAATTATGTACAAGTTTTTTATTGAGCCATCTTGAACATCATACCATGGATCCGAGGCATATACTTTCACATTATTAAAAAATTGAGCTTGGTTGTTTATTTCAGAAAAGACTGTTTCTCCATTAATTTTAATTGTGTATACATAAACTGCAATTTTTAATACTTGAGAAATCTCTATGTTAGACCACACATTTTTTCCAATTGGTTTTGTGTTAAAATATCTGTTAGCGTTTCCATTAATTGGTGCTGCAATATGGAGACCTCCTTTAGCATCTTCATGGAACCAGATGCCAGGAACTCTATCACCATAATTTGCAACATTAGATCCAATAGTGAAATGAACAACACTATGCCAACCAGCAACAAATTTATTCGGATTGATATCAAATGAAATTAAATACTCTTTATCTAACTTTGGAATTTCAGCAATAAGCTTTCCTTTTTCTAATAGAGTAGGGGCATTACCAATAAGATACTCTATATGAAAATAAAAAAACTAATTTAATGAATTACTTTTTTTGTAAACTTTTTACATTTTTGAATTAAATTACAAAGTAAGCTAAAATAAATTTTTAGGTATTAAATAACATCTAATCATTATGAAACAACCAATTATAGAGTTAAAAATGTACAGCAATATTATTGTGCATTTTTAATATGTTGTAGTTTGCATTATAAAGCCAACTACAACAACAACAACAACAGCAACAACAACAACAACAACAACAAAAACAACAAAAACAACAATAATAACAATAATAGCACTATTAATAACACTAAAAACATCAATAATAGTACAGTGAACACTCTTATATAAACAACTTCTCTATGAGTAACATTTTTTTAAAGCAACCTCTATACAAGCAACTTTTTTTAGTTCAACTGTTCTGTATAAGCAACTTAATTTTTTAAAGCTGAATATTTGAGTTAAGTTTAGGCTAAATCAGAAGTAAAATCAGCTGTTCACAACAACAAAATTATAAAAAATTTTGTTATTGGAATATATTTGTGTTTTTTGCTGCCAATATTGAGGTGAGCTTCTGTTAAATAGAATAGTTACTTGAATTTTATTAGTTTTTATTGATTAATAAATTAAACAACTCAAAGTTGTAAAAAATTAACCACAAATTGTAAATAAACAACCTCAAACTGAAAAAATTATGTTATCGGAATATTTTTGTATTTTGTGCTGCAAATATTGAAGTGAATTTATGTTAAATAGAATAGTTACTTGAATTCTGTTAGCTTCTGTTAGATAAATTAATTAATATTTTTGTGCTTTAAATTCAACCATAAAATTAGAATCAGAAGAAAAAAAGATGTACAATATTGTTAAAAGATAAACTATCTATTTTAAAGGACATCTATTTTAAATGGTGAGAAAACAAAGGACATTTTGTAATGAATATTAAGTTGCTAAATTTACAATAAGTAGAGTAAAAGAAAATAAAAAAAATTTAGAACATGCAACCAAAACGTATGTGAATCAGAGTAAGATTAAGCAAATGAAGACAATAAAATATGATGAAATTGTTGATATAGTGTTTACTTGGTTCTTGGAGCGGTGACAATGGAACAATTTAGTTCTGAATGAAATGATAAAATTAAAAGCACTCAAAGTAAATAGATTAAATAATCCACCGGAAACATTTTTTGTAAAATAAAACTGAATTTATTTATTCTACATAGTTTTGTTAGTAAAAGAAATAAGTAGAAATATTTTACTTATTTCTTTTACTAACTATACTGTAAGTTCAGTTAATAAAAGAAAAAATGGTAATTATTTTTATACTCCTTTTTTCCCTATAAGCAACTTTTCCCAATAAGAAACTTTTTTATTGAAATTGGTTCAAATGAGTTGCTTATAAAGAGCGTTCACTATATATTGCAATTATATTTATTATTATTATTATTATTATTATTATTATTATTATTATTATTATTATTATTATTATTATTATTACTATTATTATTATTACTGTAATTATTATTATTCAAAGCTTTTTAGAGAAAAATAAAGATAAACTTTTTTATCTGTTACACCAATTAAATTGCTATGCAATATTTTTTCTCAGTTGCAATTTGAATGTCAATTTCCTAAATCTTTAGTATTGTTTAGACTTTGTTACAGCTTTTTAATCCTAATTTCCTAAATCTTTAGTATTGTTTAGACTTTGTTACAGCTTTTTAAACATTTAGTAAAAAAATTTAAAATCTACAATATTCTATTGACATTTAATTTTACTTCTATATTATAAAAAATATTACATAACATAATTTAATTGGTGCAACAGATAAAAAAAGTTTATCTTTGTAGTTAAACCCATATAGTATATGGGTTTAACTATTATTTATTAAAATTTGTTAAAGTTATTAAGATCTTATAAACTTCTTTTAACGCGTTCATTAAATTTCTTTGAAATAAATGATCTATTAGTGTTTACTAGCAGTAAGCAACCCGTAATACGCGTTGTTAGTAAATAAAATTAAAAAAAAAAACGCGGATAGAAAAGCCTAGAAACTACTTTAAAAAAGCCTAGAAAATGACGTAACTCGACTAATATTAAATTAGCGTATTCATATTATCAGATTAGTTAAATGTTAGATTGATCTCTATTAAACAGTTACAAACTTAAGTTACTATCATTTTTGGACAAACGTATCCTCGCAGTCGGAAAGTCACATGGTTATGCAAAATAACAATATCGCAAGTTGTTACCATCTTGGGTGTGGGAAAATAGAGTTAATAAAGCAGGGACGGTTTAATTTTAAGCATTTGCGAACATTTTTTATGCTCATGCGTTACTTTAAAAACAACAACAACATAATTAACGTAATTTTGATTTTTGTTTTGTAATGGTTTTTTACCGTAACCTAGTAAAAAAGGTCATATCATTGCTTTGAAGATGTTTATACCAGATATGAATTCATAAACTGATAAAATATATGTTCAGGGAAAACACATTTAATTCGAAATACTTAAATTTGGTAATAAAAAACGCGGGAAAGTCGAAAAATGTTTTATAGCCATCCTTACTACTAAAATATAATAATTAAACATTTATTAGAATTTTTATGCCTTAAAGCTGTATATATTTAAAAAAAAAGAAGGCTTCAACATTATGATTAAAAAAAAATCAGAGTTTGGTTACTTTTTTAAGTTTAAAAATTTTGTATATCAAATCTTATATTTTAGCAATAAAAAAACATAAAAATGAGTCTCATGAAACGAAACTAAAAACATTATGCAGAATATGTGGAGAAAGTGTAGATAATGATAGTGTTCTTTTAACAAAACATATTGTTAGAATAGAATTTTGATATATATATATATATATATATATATATATATATATATATATATATATATATATATATATATATATATATATATATATATATATATATATATATATATATATATATATATATATATATATATATATATATATATATATATATATGAAAATTGCAATCTAACTGAATGTGTTTGCTTTAAATCCAATAAAGGAAGAAAAAAACAGAAAAAGAAAAGTAGAAGACCTTCGAGTATTAGTTATAGTGAAAATATTTGGACTAGACACAAAATAAATAACATACAATCTAAACTTTCACCTTAAACAAAACTTAATCTTAAACTGCAAGATATTAACTGCATCTTAAACCCTCATGTCCATCTTAGTGTTTGTATTATTTGCAATGACATTATGCATAAACCAATTATTATAAAAAACTGTCATCATTCATTCTGATCATCATGTGTGTTACACTTATTATTGAAAAACAAAATGCCTTAAATGTTCTTTTTCAATTCCAAGTGATGGGTTAATTTCATCAACAAATGTCATTGAAATGATAAAAAATTTACAAGAAGTATGCAAGCAAGGTTGTGGTAGATTGTTTAAAACCACACAACTGTCAGAACAAAAGAAACATCAAAAAACTTGTCAGAAAACTCAAATATCAAGTTCAACAACATTATCATTACCAACATTATGATCATCAACTTCACAAATAAACCTTTCAGATATATTTGCATTGGACTCAACTAGCATTATACCCAGAAATATTAAAGATGCTGCTCTGCATGTAATAAAACAAAAAATGTCTCAAACAACATCCAATGTAATTGAATTTCCGACAGGTGGATTAAAGGTAAGACTATTTTTACAAAAGCAGAGACTGTTAAATTACTATAACAACACAAAAATGCTTTTAATTTTATTATAGAAAACTATAGTATGATTTTAAATATTTTAAATAAATTACACAACATTTTAGCCCTTATGCTTCACATCAACACCAAAAGCCTACAAAGAAAGTTCAGATGTATGTTTACGCACAATTCGTAGACGACAATTACAGCTAAAACATAATATGAGCAAAACATGTGGAAAAAGCATCAGTTTTACAATCAAGCAAACTGCTACTCTTTTGAAATCTTTTGATGAAAATGAAATAGAATGTATTCTAAGCAAATTAAATATTTCAAAAGCCAAAATATCTGCTGAAGAAATGAACAGTTAAAAAGCAAACATGAGCAGTACTTATGTCAACATGAAAATATTATCAAGGTACACAAGATTGCAATTATTATATAGAACTCTTGAAAAGACAAATTCAATACTTTTAATAGTTAGTGATGATAAAAAAAACATTATTATTTTAGGTGGTTGAAAAACAACAATGTTAGATGTGCTTCTAATGCAAAACAAAGAAGTATGGCTAAAAAATGGTCATGTGATGATCTTATCGTTAAAAACGCTCCATTTATGGTTGAAAAAAAAATTCAAAAAGTTCTTATGAAATCAAGGAAATGCCATATGCACAGTGCCGGACCGTACTATAAGGCAAATAAGGCAGCAGTCTAGGGCCCCAACGTTTAAGAAGCCCCCAAAAAGTTGAAAATGAAGATTACTTTATAATTTTGAGGAAACATGCAATAATTTTCAAAAATTAATTAAATTTATTCTCGCGTAGTCGTAGAATCAGCCGCGTAGTAAATTGAAGAAAAATAAATATATGTGGGGGAAGAGGGGCCTCCACATCCATGTCTGCCTAGAGCCCCAAATCGTTCTGTCCGGCACTGCATGTGTATATATCGAAAATCTACAAGGACATATAACAAATGTACTAGATAGACTAGATAGGTACAAACAAATCTTTTTTTAAAAAATACTGTAACATACTACAATTAATTAAATTACTTAAAAATGGTACAATAAATTAAATGCAATACTATAAAAACAAAAAATTATATTTTCTTGTTATAATTTTAGCAACAACCTTTTATTATACAACAAGATTAAAGTCAACGAAATCCATTTAAAAATAAAAGGTGATTATGGAGGTATGTCATGTTATATATATATATATATATATATATATATATATATATATATATATATATATATATATATATATATAATATATATATATATATATATATATATATATAATAAATATATTATTTATAT